TTTTTTTTATAAATTTTTTCAAAAATTATATATTTCTTCAAAAAATGATTTCTTTTTTAATACCCTCATTTTACAATATTTTTTTCTAAACATTAACTTTATACTTAAAAATTTTTTTTTTCAAAACTTAAATTTTGCTCTTAATGATTTTTTCTTCTATTTTTTTTTATGCTGGCAAATTTATCTAGTTTTGGTAATACTATTTTTTTCCAAAATTTTATTATTGCGAAAAAAACAGCATTTTTAAACTTTTTCACACAATTTCCGTATGAGCAGAAAATTCTATAGAAAAATTTTGCCCTTGGTCCTGAAAGGGTTAAACTCTGTTACGACGTTGGAGTATTTACAATTCAGATGAGTTCATTCGTTATGGCGCTAGCATTCTCCCCTGAAATTCGTTAAAAGTCTTACGGATGCCTATAGAATCGCCTTACATATGTATAGCCATATCATATGAGTCCTTTGGAACAATTTCTGTGGGATAATGAAGCATATTACATCCCTTCTGTCAACATCCAGCGGCTCTTCGTGGCCATATTACTCTAACACTAGGCAAATAATTCTACGAGAAAGTCTATTTTCTCGCGTCCGAGGATATCCGTCAGTCACTTGACGAAATTTATGCTGGTTGTAAGAGAATAGTAGTAAACCAAAACTCTCAAGCGGTATCTCAAAGGGACCCTAGCCTATTGCTCCGTCAACAGAAGCTAACCTAGCTCTCGTTGTATATCTTTAGTTGCATCTGTTAATAGGAACTCCAGGGATAATGGGATGGTACCACATATGTATTCTTATGAAGAGTTGTAGAAGTTCTGTGTGTTTTTGAGACTCTTAACAGGATCTATGATCTTCCTCTGTCGCGTCGGAGTTCTTCTTTATCTTATAAATACTGTGAGTTAGCTTTCTATTCATACTAGTCGTATTGTACGTTTCTGGATCTTGAAATTACCGAGAACCCAAAGGAATATATATAAGGAGTCGTTGTCTCAAGTCCCACTTAGCCCCCTTCTATCGTAGAATCGCCTACTTTCCAAAAAATACCACCCTGCTCTAGAACAGATTACACCGTTCTTAAGAAGAGGTCGCCCTTCTTTGGTTCTCAATTAAATCTGAATCTTCGTAACATTAATTTGGCTTCACAGTTCTTTTTATGAAAACCAACCCGAATTTGCCCATCTACGTTGGTTATGACCAAAACATATCCCAAGGTCCTGCTTGTAAAAGCTCCCACTGGTCACCTATGATCTAAGATGAATGTACCGGCACAAGATAATTCTAAAGCCTATTTTTGGCGCATAATTTCATATGTATCTCTTCATTTCCGAGAATATTTTTATAGACCGTATAAACTTTTCTATTATAAATCTTAAAAATATAGACCTATATACTTAGTAAAATAATTTTAAACATCACTTACCTAATTCACTGTAGAGTGTCGTATTCAGCGCTATATCCATGGGACATGTATCTGAATCTTCAGGTTCCTCGCATAATGTTGGCGGACCATCCCACAAAGCTTTTGCAGGCCGCCGCACACGATCCAGCCGCACACGTGGATACTCATTGAAGAGTACGTCTGTTAGCTGGTGTTTGGGAAAATTAAATGCATTTTTTTATTAGAAGTCAAGCAACTGGTGAAGTGAAAGAATGAAAATGTAGAGATCAGAGAATAACATAATAAAACTTATATATATGATGGTATTTATACATAAAACAAAATATAAAAATGCTTTGGTAAGTTAAAATATATTGAAATGATAAAAAATATTCACAAAAAATTTAGAAGTAACTTTGAACATAATAATAAAATATTTACTGGGTCTTAGGATTATAAACTCAAAATGTTATACAAAACAATGTAAATTAATAAATCCAAAATAACCTAAATTTTTAGTAGAATAATCAACCGTTCTGTGTATGTAGGATCCACAGAAGTTTTTCCAGAAACTAGGCGACTACCGCGGGCTTAGATTCTGACTCCTTTCGCTATTTCATTTCAATTATCAGAAGTCCGTTAGACGCATAGAGGCGACCCTGGAGATAGGAGAACAATGTCTATAAGGAAGGCGTTTTAGACGGATTGACCGCAATAGGAGTTCATCCTGTAATTTCGAGCTGGATTAGCAGTATGTTTATCTGCAGAAGTGTTTCGGCGTAGTGGGGTAGGCATGAGGCCATCAAACCGGTTTACAGAGGTATGCTGGTGGGTTAAGAAACTGGAAAGAGGACCTGCCGAACTTACGGCATATTCGGATGATATTTCTTTCGTAGTAAGCGGTAAGTGTATGTCCACACTCAGCTCCCTTATGGGCCTAGCACTAAGGGAGATATATCTTTGGGCAACCGAGGTGGGTGTTACCTCAGAAAAGACGGATCTGGTACTCTTCACCGGAAATACAAGGTTCCGAACTGTTATAAGCCTAAGCTGGATGGGGTGAAGCTCCAGCTGAAGCAAAACACCAAGTATCTCAGAATAACTATAGATAAAAAGCTGTAGTGGCGCCTCAATGTAGAGGAGAGGGCAAAGAAGGTCTCAGTAGCATTCTATGCATGCAAAAGGATGCTGGGCTGCACCTGCGGCTTATCGCATTCCCTTTCTCACCGGATCTTTATGGCGTTAGTCAGGCCGATACTGTTCCTTGGGGTACTGGTTTGGTGGACAGCAGTGAAGAAGAAAACATTTATCAAGAGAATAGGAAGTGTAAATATATAGGCTAACAATGATCGGCATGTTGGGGAGTACTCAGGACAACACCAGCGGCATCAATTTACACCTTGTTTCATCTCTGGCCGGCGGTCTTTTTGGCCAAGAATATATCGTCAAGAACTGCCGCCAGGCTTTGTGCTACGAGGCAGTTTGTGTGCAGGTCCTACGGGCACAGTAGTATAGCGTCAAATTTACTAAATGATCTCGGATCTGCACTTTCTGCACTTTGGGACGAACTTCGCAGCCACTATAGAGGTCGAGGGGTAGCGGGAGGGCATGAAGGGTGCTGGCTCGGTGAATGTCTACCGAGCAGCAGCCTAGTAAACAAACAGATGAATCTCTACATCGATACTCCGGCTGCGATAAAGGCGCACTTGCTTGAGAAGTGTGGCGGAGTACAGGACAGCTCTGGATTTGCTACATACTGGTACTGACGTACAGCTGTACTGGGCTCCAGTGCACAATAGCGTTCACAAGATTAGATGGAAGCTCGATATATCAATGATCCGGAAAACGCAGAAGGCGTGCACCAAAACGCAAAGCTTCTCCCTCAAGAAGGAGGATGCTAGGCTACTGGTAGATGTCCAAATGGGACTTTACCTGTTGGCAAACTACGCCTTTAAACTAGCACTGACTAATGATAAAATCTGTAAGAGTTGCAGAACGAAAGAGGAGACAGAGGAGTATATACTTTGTGAGTGTCCAGCCCTTAGCAGAGTACGATTCAGTCTCCAGGGAGTAGGCTTTCTGCCTAACTTAGAAACCGCAGCCAAGATGGGGTACAACAAGGTTATGCGATATTTTTCGATTTATCTGGTAAAGCTATGGACCTTTTCTCTCTTCGAAGCCAGCTTACCTAACCTAACCAGAAGTCCTGAACATAAAATCGTTGGTTATGTTGTTTTTTATACAAGGAGAACGCATTAAAAGTCCAAACCCCCTATACGCCTTCTCTGTCCGCTATACCGTTTACCACCCCGTCCCCTCCTACATCGTTTGCCTGTATGCCTGTATTAGCGCTGTTAGTCAAAACTGAACCAGCTTTCCACATACAGGGTTTCCGGAGTCTTTGTATCTCTTGAAGTTACCGCTTCAGATACTGGAGACAACGTCGCACAGAACGCAATTTTTTTCACTGCTCAATTTGGCAATTATTGATGCTGCGGCCGTGTAAACCGCTTCCCAGGTTTTAGATTTCAATATTTATGGCACTAATTTCCTTCCATAGTTAGGAAGCCTCGTATAGAACCCCCCGCTCCACGTGAAAACGTGGACAATAGAAAAAGAAGTGTTCCGCGTGTTCGGGGAAATCGTACGCACAAGTAGTAGTTGCGTGATGTTGAAGTTCATCTCTCCATGTGCTTTATTGGCCTAGGTCTCAATATCAGGGACGAGCCGATATGATGTACATCGGTCATTGGTTACTGAGTCCCATCGTCTTCGCCATTCGGATAGAGTGCGCTTTCTTATCAGCGTGGGTCGATAATACCGAGTAGCCAGTATCGGCGAATGTGGCCGTCTTCGACCACCGGAATTTTACTCCTGTTATAGCATATGACTAACCTACAAATGGCTAACCCTTTAAAGAAAATTTCATTTAAAGTAAATGGTTGTAGGAACTTGATAAACCCCTATTGTCAGCATAGATAATGGAATAGCTACACTGTTGTGGCGGTGTTTTTGAACCAAACATCGGCTTCGGTAATAGTTGTAATCTTGGGAAACCTTACAGTGACCAGCAGAACATAGGCTGGGGTTTAAAGAACCCTGTCGTTTTTGTCTCGAACATAAGAAATTCGGCGAGTTGTCATTCGTTGCTCTTTGAGATTTTCTCTAAAGCACTTGTCAAACAGAGTAGGGAGTATCAGCGAATTCAAGTTCAAATCATCTAGAATGATGTCCAGAATTTTTAAGTAAACAAATCCCTGCTCTCTATTAGCAATTTATGTTCAATATGGTTTCATTGCAGCTGCCCTGTAGCTTGTCAAACTAAGCGTCTAATGGAGAAAGAGCCAATAAAGCTTAAAGAGCCTTCATAGTCGTGGCTGGTTTAACAAAATGTTGGGGAAAATCTGAGGCCAAATGACTACAAATCTATTGTCTTTCCATTAGTCTAAAGATGATTGCCTCCCATTGTATAGTGAAATTTTACACATTCTTGCGGAGATTATTCTGTTGAGACGCACTTACTTCTCGAGAAGCACTGTGGTACCAGCGCTGATTTATCTGATTCTGAGAACTTTTCTATAAGGGCCATCAAAGCCATAATAGGGTGAAAATCTAGTACTTCTAAACAAGCAAGTCACCGAGATTAGTCGGAAACTTTGCCGCCAGGCTTCAGTCAACCGGGTTACATTAAGACTGGGTGAGTTTCTCTACATAGGAAAGTTAAGTCGCGGTTCCACTAACATCATGAGTGAAACTTGGGAAATTGGGTCAAATTTTTGTGTATTTGAAACAAACCTAATTATGCTAATTTTCCACAGAAAACATAACGAATTTTGAACGCTGAACATTAAATAAAATTAAAGAAATGTTAAAAATTTATAAATGTGAAAAGGTTAAAAAAATAAATAGCTTTGTGCTTCAAGTTAATGTTAATTTCTAGCTTTAAGCATTACCCACCTCCTTTTTAGGTGTAGCCGGGAATATCTACAGGTTAGCGGTATTATGTTTTTTTTTGTTAAATTTTTTTTGTGATTTTTTATTATTTTTTTTTTTGGTTGGTTTGTTATTGTGTGTGCATTTATAGTAATTAATAATATTTTTCAGTGCATGTTCAGTTTTTAGGTGAGGTAGTGTAGTGAAAGCATAAAATGGGAGTGACAAGAAGAGAGAGAGAGAATGAAAATTAGCAATATTTTGATATTAAGTAGTTAAGCAATAATGTTGTTATATTTTTTTTTTTAATAAATAAGTACGAATACCTAACTAAACTTAAGTTAATTTATAAGTACACAGTACATTACGTCTCCTTAATACAGAAGAGCCCTATCTCGCATTGTCGCTGAAATACAAAAGGCCGTGTAACTAACTAAAAATTTCAAATTCACTTTTTGATTCATTTTGTAACAAATTTTAGTTATTTACGGCTTTCTGCATGTCAACAACGATGTGAGAAAGGTCATATTTGTATATAAAGGTAACGATATATTGATACTTCAAATGATACTTAAATAATAATAAATTCATATTTACGTATAAGTACTCCCCTAACCAAAAAAAAAAATACAGAAAAACTGGAAATTTTTGTTTTGTTATAAAATATATTAGTAATTAGTATTATATTAATTGTAAGAGGCCTGCAACTGTTACTGTAAAATTGTATCATAAATATTTTGGAATTTTTTTATTTTCTAATTTTCCAAGCTTAAGGGAATCCACGTTGTAGAGTTAAGCCGTTTCTAATCCATTATTTAAATATTATTATAATTAACTACATAATTCTAGAAGCGTTTTTCGTTAAATAATTTATTGTTTTTATCTTACCGATATTTCTTCACTGCAGTATGCCGTGAAAGATTGCTCATCTTGCTGCAGGACACAGTAGAGCGGACTCCATGGCAGAGTTTTGTATTTGCGTGTAAGTTCACCCTCAGATTCTGTAAAGAAAAAAAGAAAATTTGATTGAAGAAAGTTTTTTTTTATTTAAAATAGCAAAAAATTAAAAAAGCATGGGAAAGTAGGGCAAATAAAACAAAAAATAAATAAATAAAATAAAATTAATTACGAAGGTAAAAAGTAAATAAACAAAACTAAATAAAATAAATTAAAAGTTTTCAGCAATCAAAATTTTATAAAAGAAATAAATAAGAATAAAATAATTAAAATAAAATACAATAAAACTTGCATTAAATCAAATATAAAATAAAAAATTGTGAAATAAAAAAGAAAATAAAAAGAATTACAATTATAAATACATAAATTAAAATAAAAAGTTAAAAGTTGTACTTAACAAGAAATTAAACAATTGAATACATATTATAAAAAAATTAAATTTAGAAAGTCAAATAAATAAATAATACAAAATAAATTAAATTTAAAAAAACAATAACAACTAAACAGTTAGACGAATAAAATTAAAAAAATAAACAGCCAAAATATAATAAATAAATTTAAAAAGAACTAAACTAAATAAAGCTAGATTAAATAAAAATTAATAAATTAAATGTAAACTTATGATATAAAAGATAAAAAACCAAAATAAATTAGTTCACAAATTTAAAAAAAGTAAGGAAACAAGTTTAAAACGAAAAAAATAAATAAAAAAAAACAATTTAAATGTAAACTCGTGATATAAAAAATAAAAACCCAAAATAAACTACTTCATAAATTTATAAAGAAAACAAGAAAATAAAAAAGTAAAATCAAATAAGATATAAAATAAAAATAAAAAAAATTTATAAATTCAAATAATACATAATACAAAATGAAATAAATTTATAAGAATTATAAATTATTGTATAATAGAAATTAAATAAAATAGGAATAAAAAATAAATAAATTTCATTAAAAAATTAAGTAAGAAGATTAAACAAATAACTAATTTGAGAAAGAAATGTAAACACTAAAAATTTAACAAAAACAGTTAAAACAAGTAGAAATGCAAAAAATAAATAAAATAGAATAACATAAAAGGAAATGTAAGATAAATATAAAAATTAAGAAAAAATCAATGATGTATATCAAAACATTCAGTAAGACACAGGAAAACAAAAATAGTTTAATTCAGATAAGATATAAAATAAAGTGCAATTAAACAAAAAATTAAATAATATAAAAATAGATAATAATATAAATAATGTGTATAAACAAATAAAATTCGGAAATTAAAAAACAGAATAATGCACATTTAAAAACTTAATGTAAAAAAGATATAAAAATTAAACATAAAAAATATAAAAATTAAATAAAAAAAACAAATAATACGAGGTATCATTAAGAAATTAAGAAATAAATAATAGAAAGTATAAAAAAAAACGAAATAAATATTACTAAAAAACAATAACGAAAAAAATAAAAATTAAAAAATTTATAAAATAAAATAAATTGAGTCAGAAAACTACATACAAAGAAGATGCAAGTAATAACAAAATTACAATACAAAAACTATAAAAGTAAAAAAAAATAAAACCAACAATAGAAATACAAATAAAATCTCAAACAATAAAAAACAGTGTTAAATCAAAATGAAAAAAACAGAGCAAACAAAAAATAATGAAAAAATAAAAATAAAAAATTTTAAAAAGCCACATTTAACTAGAGATTTATGGCTTAAATCAAAACAATAAATGTTACATAAAAAATTTAAAAAATCTAGGAAAAAGCAAACAATAATATAAAAAAACATCCAAACTAAGGAATTAGTAAATAAAATACAGTATAAAAATTAAAGGAAAATAAATAAAATGCATTAAAAGTAAAATAGAAAAATTAACCAAAAAAAGTTAGATTTAAAGCTAAATTAAATTCAATAAAATGTATAATTAAGAATTAAATTTTGATTTTTGTGGTCCATCAATGTTGCTAAGTGATGGCAGCTCTAAATTGCGCCATCTGACGGTTTAATTTGCATACTGAGCGCTTGCATCAAGGGTAATTTAGCAATGACACAACCCGAGCTGAAGAAAAATATCCCACTGGTATAACTGGTATAAAAGGGAAATTTTAGACAAAACGAGGCATTTAAAACAATTTTCATTTTTAACGGTATGCAAGCGGTGATAATTGTAACAGCCAATTTCACGAAGGCAATTTAATTGAAAAATTTAATGTAATTGAATTTTTTGAATTTTATATGGAAATTGACAGAAAATAAAAAATTAGTTTCCATTTAAATTGCTGGTGAAGCCGGCTGTAAATGAAATAGAGAATAAACATAGTAGCACGTTTGTGCTCAGGTATTAAAGCAAAAAGATTTTCAGTTAGTTCTTTGTCTTTGATTAAAAATACATATGTACATACATATGTAGTATGTAATAACTAAAACGGCGATTTACATACGTACATCAAATTATGAATAGTCCCCAAAATAATATCACCTCTCACCGCACCCCAACTCCTGTTTTTCACATCACCCACCCATGAAATAACAAATTGTCCAAAAAGTGAAGCAGGTCAAAGTGTTTACATCGCAATTTTTTTCCTTTTCGGTTTTTTTTTGTTTTCCACACGCCAGCCGCTAGCGCATAAACACTATTTGACAGTTGACTGCATACAAATGCCAACGAAAAATGTTTCCTGTTTACATGGAGAGTCAGTCGAAAGCACACGAATAATAAAAAAAAAACCAGAATAAAAAAATAATGAGGCAAATTTTAAAGAAGCCAAGTCAAAGCAGTGCAGTCGTCAGTCTGTCAGGCAGTCAGTCAGTCAGTTAGTCAGTTAGTCAGTCAGCCAGGCAATAAAGAATAGTTGCATGCAGCCAATGCGACCAGCTGTTGTTGCTCAAAAATCTACATACAGATGTATGTATATATGCCAAAAATATTGGAACTACAATTTAATCGATCAAAAAACAAAATTATTGTGCGTGAAATTATCGTGCTTATAGGCCGACATACACATGGCTGCGCGTTTTTACGAGTACATAAACGAATTTTAATGCAAGCGTTTAATTTTGCATTTGGGAATTTCGATTTGTTGGGTGGCATTTCGATTTAATGTGCATTAAAAAAAATGCGATTGGTTTTGTTGCTACATTGGCGGAAAATCTAGTAAATTTTTTTATTTTTTGCTTTGTTGGTGATATACTATATAAGTTTGTTTTACAATCTGCTTGTTATTCTGCAACAATCTTCTGGTGGAAGAATAGATACCAATTTATGTATGTAAGAATGTAGTTTTTAATAACGCGTCTTTTACTATGAGTTCATTAAACTTTATGCGTAATTAGCGAAATTAATGAACTATACTGTAACAATAAAATTTGTATTTGCACAAAAAATATATATGTATGTACATACATTAGTATGGTCCTAAAATGCAGGTGAAAAATAAAAGTCGGAATTTGTATGCTCTCACTCCCTAGGAAAAAATATACATTTATTTTTTATTTGGAAATCAAAAAATATTTAGAGGTCGCTCAAAGCGCTCAAAGGTTTCCATGTGCATATTTTATATGGGAAAAAACACAACTTTTAGTAGAAATGGTATAGAATTCTAGAAAATCAAAATTATTCGATCGGAAGACCCTGTTTCTCTGCAGGATATTCCCAATAATAATACCCAATTGTTTACTTAACCATTTTTATAGCAACATTGTTTTATAGTACCGAAGAAAATCGCCAAAAAATCCCAGAAAATACAATGGGGGACTAATAAAAAAAAACTTTAGTATTAAAAAAATGTTAAATAAACAATTACGTATTCATATTGGAGGTCTCCTGAAGAGAGCCAGAGTTTTCCGATCGAAAAATATTGATTTCGAGAATTCAAAATAAAAAAACAGGGCTATTTTTCGATATAGAACAATCCTAGCGGTGAGAGTATAAAAGTTTCGACTTTACTTTTTTTTTTGACCACCCTTATGTACATACAATCGTATGTACTAAAAAGTTCTTGGTAATCAAGTACGAAAAAACATCGTCAAATTACAGTAAAAATTAGTTACGCTACCGAATTCGTTTTAAAATATTTCAAGGTATGGATTCATGACTAATAAAAGGACAGAAATAAAAATTAAAATTAAAATCTAAATACAAACGACAATTTTTTTTTTTACATACCGCCCCTAGTTTTTGATAAGGAATATTTTTCCCACGAAAATCTTGAAAAAGGTAGGGTAGAATGAATAGTGCTGGGTCGAATTGCACGAACGCAATATTTGACTTACCAAATCGAATAACTTTTCATCAGACATCAAAGCTCTAACTCTTTAAAACTTTGTAATCGCAGTACAAAGGCTACTAACTTTGAAGCATACACATTTTTTTTTGAATAAAATTCTTTCTCTATTTTATTGACTTATGTATTTTGTTATTTTACATATTTTATTTAACTTAATTTTATTATTGACTCTTTTTTATATATGCCATTATTTCATTGAGTTGTTTACATATATGTATATGTTTTAAGTTTGATAAATTTGTTTTTCTATTTTTCTACCTCATTTAATAACATTTTTTTAATATTTTTATTTCATTTTATTTAATTATATTGCTTCTTATTTTATTTTAAGTATGTAATTCGATTTTTAATATTTTTTTTTATTTTATTTTATTATTTCAAACTTTTATTTTAGTTTTATTTTATTTCATTTTAGGTAATTCGATCTTTTATTTTATTTTTTTTTATTTTATTATAACATACTTTTATTTTAGTTTTATTTTATTTTATGTAATTAGTTTTTCATTTTTGAATTTTGTTTTATTTAAATTTATGTAATTAATTTTTCCATTTTTCTATTTTATTTTATTATTAGATACTGTTGAATTAAATTTAAGTTTAATTTTATTTTATGTAATTAGTTTTTTAATTTTTCTATTGCATGCTTTT